AGCACATGTCAGTAATGCACATATGAGAACAGATTAGTAAAGGTTCAAAATTCTGAATACCTTTCTCTAATCACTGGAGTGACATGATATTGATTTTTGCCTATTATCTGCTACTCCTTGGAAAAGCTTCACAAACAGCTTGTGAAAGGGAACAGAGGCCAACCATTTTATGGTGTACACAATGTCATTAGATGCGCCTCTCTGGATTCCAATTTTAACCTTTACTGCAAAAAAATAAGCTTTGGGTACTAGTAATTTCCATCCCTTTTGGCAAACATGACGAAAGTCTGAAGTTGAATGACAGAAGTCTTTCTCTGTTGCATACAGGAAACTAATGCCTGGAGTTCAGCCTCAAATCTACTGAGTCTTGTTGTTGTTCTTTAGTCGTTTATTTGTGTCTGACTCTTTGTGACCCCATGGACCAGAGCACGCCAGGCCCTCCTGTCTTCTTTACTGAGTCTACTCAACTACAGTGGGGCCCCACTTGACAATTACCCTGCTTCACGACAAAATCGCTTCACGATGAAGTTTTTGTGATCGCAAAACAATGACTGAATGGGGAAAATCCGTTTTATGACAATCGGTTCCCTGCTTTGGGAACCAATTCTTTGCATTACGACAATCAAAAACAGCTGATTGTCAGGTTTCGAAATGGCCACCCGCTGTTTTCCGGACCTATTTCCGAAAGACAGCGACCAAAAATGGCTTTCCCTATGGAGGACCTTCGCTGGATCATGAGGTATTTCGCCCGTTGGAATACATTGAAGCGGTTTTCAATGCATTTCAATGGGTTTTTTCTTTCGCTTGACGACTATATGACTAACAGCGATTTTAACGGGATGGATTATCATCGTCAAGCAGGACACCACTGTATTGAAGATCATATTGATCAAGAAGTACATACAAACTACGATTTCTCATCAGAGTGGATAAACATCAATAATTTTTATAAAAATTATTTAAATCATGATTTAATTTTTTAAAAAATCTTTATTTAAATCATCAGAATAGTTTTATTTAAACATCAAGATTTAGATCAATTTTATGCAAATCAAATCCACACTGTTTCTCACTGTGTTAATAGCAGATCCATGAACTTCCTTTCTCCTTTCCCAGAATAACAAATTCTATCAGCTGTGCTTCATGTAACAGAATCCTGAGAAATAATAGCAACAGAGCTGGACACATGCTAATCACAAATTAATGTGAAGGTTAAAGCATCCGATCAGTTTTTGAAGTGGAGCCTATGTATTAGGAGAAGAACAAGAGTTAAAATCATGCAAGCCCTTACTCTATTCCTTCTATGAAATCTATTTAAACAAAAGATTAACAGTTACAGATAAATATACATTAACTAAACAAAGGGCTGAACCAAAAGGTACAGTACAAAGATCTAATTGAATAACATTGAAAGAATAAAGAGGTTATAGTAATCAAGGATGAGAAACAGTTTCACTTGTATTGGATTAATAAGTTTGTTATGTGCTGTCAAGCTGGAACAGATGGACAACAACCCTAAATAGGACTTTTAAGACAACCGAGATATTTAAGGAATGATTTTACCAGTTCCACTTCCTCAGTGACTTTCCATGTTCAGTAGGAATTTGAACTCAGGTCTGCAGAGTCCTAGCCATCATTCTATCCATTACACCATACTGGGTACCATATTCAGATCCTAGAAATATCATTTGTGTACTGCTTGATACAATGTAATTTCTCTGGTTCAATGTGTAAGAAATATGTACCTTTTGTCATAGGTGTTTAGTCATGTTTTTGTTTGGCATTAATTTACAAATCATTAAACAAAAACCTTTGCCAAAATTCTGTGTAGTAATGTTGGTGAAAGAGAAATTATGTAATCTGCAGTATCAAATTACAGTTAATTAAAAAGTCACCACTTGGATTCTGGGTCACACAACAAGCCTCCCAACAAGGCACAAGAATTTGAGCAGGAAATTGTAAATTAGCAGCAATTTGCCACTACAATTTACACCCTTCCACCAGCATACCTATATAACAATTTAATAGATATTTTTGGTTAAGAAAGAGTCCTGAGCTCAAATCCCCAGACGACGATAATTGCTGAGAGGATATTCTCAGTCTAATATGAATTTTCTGTGCACTACCTCAAAAAGATGATACACTCTGCAACTCTGCAGAATAACAAAAAACAAAAAAAAAATCCCTGAGGGCTTGTCAGAACCACCAGGCTTATATTTCCCACTGTTAGGCTGGGAATAATGTCTCAGCCTTCGCCCATAGATTTGCATTAAAAGAAAATATTGATAAAGGAAGTCATGTTGGGCATTAATTAACTGATAAATCCAATACTGCAACAGTACTGTGTCAGCAAGAAACAGGAACAAGTCAGCCTACACAGCAGAAATGCAAAGAGAAAGCAGCAATTGTCCTATGTGTGGTATTGTCATAAAAATCTCATCACTAAAGAACAAGTAAACCGCCCTCAAAAGTGATCTAAGACATTTTATGCTGTATGTTAAAGACAATTGTAGCATAAACTGATTTTGAACCACTCTGAGTAAAGATAATGTGTATACAAGAAATGACACATGCCTCTATAATCTCAGTAGAGGCCAGCAAACTAGCTTCCCTATGGCAAATTTATCAGATGCTTAGCACCCAGCAGAATGTACAAGTTGTATAGGATCTTCCTTTCATTTATTCAGCTTTACTGAATGCTCCTCTGGACAGATAAGTTTCTCTGCATAGCACCACTTACTCACAGAACTCATTTCTGCAGATCACACACCATTTCCAGTTCCAACTTTATAGCATAACCTTGGGTTGTCAAATGGATCTCCTATCAGAGACCAAACTAGCTACAGAAGACTAAGCAAAAAATGAAACAATAGCTTGAAGGATCTACTATAGTCTCAACAACTAACTGGCTTCAATCATTCTCATTCCCTCTAAAAGCTTTAGAATTGTTGGTACATCAAACCTCTCAGAACTTCACAAGGAAAACCTATTTGCACTATTAGTCTGCATGGATAACCATGAGCTGTTACTAGAGCTTGCAGATAGTTTGTTCAACATGAGACTACGAAGTGGGGCAACTATCCTCTTTGCTCAACATGAAAAGAAGTGGGGCAACTATCCCCTTTCAAATAAGAAAAGTTGCATTGTGTGCCGAAATGCACCTTATCATTTTTCTTAGCTCTCAAACCCCATAAGCAGGAACAAATATTAGACTGGAAGGGATGTTTCTACTCTGCCTACCACTTATGCAAGATTTGCCTTTAAGCAATTGTATATACATTACATGAATTACAATCTATGAAAACACAACATATGCTCTTCCCTCTTTTAAAGTTTGTGGGGGAATGTACCACAGAGCTATGTAGTGTTCCCATAGACGCTCTATTTAGACCTTTTCAGAGCTACATGGAAATATAAGCTCAAAACCCACATGAAGAACTGGCTAGAATTCTTGGGATACATTTCATAACAAATACATCTAGGTATAAAATACAATTTGCTCTGCTCACTCACTCAAAAAGGACATGATAACTACCAACACAGTATTCTTTGGTTATTGGACATATGTGCTGCAGCATGAACTACTAGGTCAGGCAATTCCTGTAACATTACTCAACATATTTTCTCATTTGGTAAATACTGTTTCCTCCATCTTTGCCAAAGGGATGAAGGGTTGCTTTTTATGACAAGGCCAGGTTACATCTGCTTCTCAGTTACCTGTGTTTCACAAGTAACAGAGAAACAGATAAGATATATTAACTTCTATTCTGATTTATCATCAGAGAATAATGCCGAAAAGACACACATCTGACAGGCACAGTTAATAGAAATACTAGAAGACTTCTGACTCTTATCTTACAAAAAACCTGTATAGAAAAGATGACAACTCTCAAAGGATCAATTTTGCTTAGCATTTTCATTACACAGACAACGTCATAATTAAGGAAAGAAAAATCTGAGATCTGTAGTTGACCTATTCTTTATGTAGGGGAGAAAACTAGACTAAAATTAAGATTCCTCTACACACAGCTTTCTGCAAAAAGATCAGTCAACAACCCCCTCTTTTTAAAATCTCTGCCACACAGCCTAGTTTAGCAGCTCAGTCTTTTCATATCTTAACAATGTGCCATTGCCACTAGTTCACACATGTATGTTCTACACTTAAAATGAGTCATTATTTGTTCCAAATAACAGGCCAAACACTGCACATTGCAAAATGACACAACTGCATATTGGACAATACAGCACTAACCCAAGTGTGGGAGACAACGGAATTCACCAAGTGTGAGTCATCCTCTTTCAGCCTAAACTACTTTGTTATTGGAAAGATAACTCCATGATACACTCCTCATCGAGTGTGCCCTAACAAATGTAATAAACAACACTGCAACAGCTCAGCCACTGCTAGCCAATAGAGTCATCCCCTTTTAGTGATTTACTTCAACCGTAACTTGATCAGCAGCAGTACAGTACTTACTTCAACATCTTCCAAAGCAAACCAGAGGGAATTATTTCTCAGTCTGCTGGTAGTGCGGCCAAGTTGCCAGCAAACACCACACTTAAGTTATGGGTGGGCAAAACTTCAGTGAGACAGCCCTGGCACTCCCCTGCAATTGAGCCAACAATGAGTCACAGGGCGCCTCAAAGACTAAGGCTGCAAACACTGCAAAAAGAGATTTTAACTTCACTAGGCACAGGAGGGGACATTTCAGAATAAACACAGATAGGACTGCGGTGTGGTAAATTGGCTGCAGCTTCTGCTTTGGTGAACAGCCAGTATCTCAGCTTTTCAGACGCCCTATAAACCCTTTGTTGGGTGGGGTTCCAAGCCGGGCACTTAAGAAAGGCCAGTGGCCAACCCACCGCACCCCGAGTCAACTTGAGGACTGGGTGGGGCGAAGCCCTCAAACTGGGCTGGATGACCCAGGGTGTGAAAAGTGAGTTGGGGAAGGAGTGAAAGCTGAGGGGTTCGTCCCCCGCCCCTGCCTGCAGCTTCTCACCTCCCTTGCAGGGGGTGCGATGCTGGCTGTGCTGCGCTCGGTAGCCTTCAATGACTTCCCACTCGCCGTTATCCCGCTTGATGGGGAAGGAGACGCTCAGCACGTGGTTGCAGGGCTTGATGATGCGGAGGATGCCGCGGACGCGGTGCCGCTTCTCCTCGGGGCTCTCGCGGGTGCGCAGCCCTTCCACCAGCTTGTCCTCCACAATGCTGGCGCCGCGGTCGAAGAAGCCCTCCACCATCTTGAAGAAGTTGGGGTCGTCTTCCCGCTCCACGGCTTGGCTATAACGGCGGAGGCTGCCGGCGCTCCCATGCCTCCGCCCCGAACTGTGCCCCGACAACAAGGCCGCCGCCGCGCAGGGCTCCGCGCCGGATAAAGCTGACGAGCCGGCCCCGGCTGCGCGAGCCGGCGCCAGAAGCTCCCCCAAGCAACGGTACATGGTTGGCGGTTTCTCACAGGAAAAGGAGCAGCTGTGCTATAGCGCGCGCGCCGCTCTGAGGGAAAGCTCAAGGGCGTCGACGCGGCAAGGCGGGGAAGAGAGAAGGGGAAGAAGGCGAGCCGTGGGGGGGGAAGGAGGAGGTGGACCGGGGCCGGGGCGGCCCAATGGCACAATAACAGGGGGCCTCAGCCTCGCCCCCCCTTCCCCGCTGCCTTTAAATTGGCCTCGGGGAGGCGGGGAAGCGGTGGGCGAGGCCAAAGCCGGAGCAAGTCGGAACGCCTCTCTATTGCGCAGGCGCTATTCCCTCCCATACTGGACGTGGAAAAGGATCGTGAGGGCCGCTCCCTGGTGAGTTTTTACTGTTTTCCTCGGGCCACTTTTTTACATGCACGCATGCGCTTGCGACCACCACACCCCCCCTCCCGTAAAGGCGTAGGGGGAGGAAAGAGAGGTGGGGCTCTTCCTGATTGGGTCTTCGGGAGACGTTCGTCCCGCCTTCATTTCTGTAACGGAGCGCGCGCAATGGCGGTTAGCTTTTTTTCTCTCTCAGGGTAAGTGAGCGGCTGTGGTACGCCGGAGTTTAGCCAAAATGCGCGGCGGGGCCCCGAGGTTTCTCGCCATCACTTCTGTATAGTATTGGAACTCCTTGTCGAAACGAGTCGAACTGGGCTTGGCTGCAGTTTGGTTTGATCCAAACGGGGTATATGTGTCTCCTGTGTTCTTCCTTCCCTTGACAGCGCGTTTTTTGTCTATATTGAGGGCGAAGCCTAGGAGGTACCGACTATTATGGTCCATTTTGCTGCTGTCAGACTTTGGACTTAATCGGTTTTTATTAGCCGACAAAATATATTGTTTCAAAACATTGTGGAAAACTGGCTCAGTGGCATTGGACGGGGCGACCCACGTTCGAATCCCCACTCGATCATAGAAAAACACTGGGACTTGTGATTAATAATAAGAATGATTATGCCCCATCCAAAGTGGGTTAACATCCTGTTCTGGGTGTGTTCTGGGGCTCTGCAGCTTGTTGAAGGCTACACAAGCCTGGCTGTTTTGGGAAGCAGAGTAGAGTTGAGTTCCCAAACTCTGGCTCCTTAGGCAGGTCCTTAAATATTTCACATATCTTTAATGAAGTCTTTTCTTTCAGCAAACTCGTATTCCAGAGTACCAGGGGCAATGCTGTGTGGACCTTATTAGATAACCTTGGTCTACTGCTTGAAACAGTCGCTAGAGTAGGTCTTTGGTTGCTTTTATTCACCAAATCATTTGAATTAGCCCCCTTTCCATGTATTAACATGGATTGCCATTTCATTTTTAACTACTGATTCCTGTGTTAAGACACCATGCTATTTGCATGTAGAAGTTCAAATGATAGATTATAAGGTAAAGGTTCCCCTTGACAATTTTTGTCCAGTCGTGTTCGACTCTTAGAGGGTGGTGCTCATCCCCGTTTCCTAGCCATAGAGCCAGCGTTTTGTCCGAAGACAATCTTCTGTGGTCACATGGCCAGTGCGACTTAGACACGGAACGCTGTTACCTTCCCAACGAGGTGGTCCCTATTGATCTACTTGCATTTGCATGCTTTCGAACCGCTAGGTTGGCGGGAGCTGGGACAAGCGACGGGCGCCCACTCCGTCGCGTGGATTCGATCTTACGACTGCTGGTCTTCTGACCCTGCAGCACAGGCTTCTGTGGTTTAGCCCCCAGCGCCACCACACATTATGTATATTTTTTTAAAAATACATATTTGTGAGCAACTAATGTCTGTATATTTTAGTGTTATAGACTGAGCAGTTGCCAGGTACCTGCGGATGTTAACTTCACAAGCTGAATAGATTGACCAAATATGTAAATCATGAACAAAACGTAATGCCAAGTTTACTCAGTATTCTGATGGCGGCATAATCTCAGAATTGCAGAGCTGGAAAGGACCCTGTAGACCAGTGGTCCCCAACCTTGGGCCTCCAGATGTTCTTGGACTACATCTCCCAGAAATAATCTCAGAATTGCAGAGCTGGAAAGGAACCTGTAGTGTAGACAATAGAGTCCTGTCCCTGCCAGTGAGGCACAGTAAATCAAACTCCCAACCTCTGGCTCTGCAGCTGGAGACTTAAACCACTGTGGTTCATGTCTACATTGTGAACTTCCAAACATTTATCATAGTTCTTCCTCAAAATTTTTTTGAGTTTCTTTGAGAAAAGCTATCACAACAGTAACTTTCAAACAAATAGTTGTATTTGGCTCTTTAGGTTTGTATAATGTAAACGGGGTAATGTAAAGACAAAGATCTATTTCAGTGTGAGTTTTTTTGTGGATTACAGTCCACAGTGTAATTCCATATATCTGAGGATCATAATTTATGAAGGTTAACCCTGAAATATATCTTAGTAAATACTTTCTTTTTATTATGCCAGAAAGATTGTGGTGACAATGTACATTAAAACATTTGAGAAACCCTGCTATAGTTGTATAAGGCAAACAGAGTAACCTAATTGAACTGTTCACACAATTGGAAGCTATACTTCTCCAGCTACAGTAGTGCAGTTTATATGGATGCTTTGATAAATGTCAGTCAGATCAGTGCTGCTGCCTATCCTTGCCAAAGGATTGTCAAGATACCCAGGGAAGGTGAAAGGTTGGACACCCCTGGGTTAACAGCTTGGTACAGGCCTGTTTCAATATTTTGATACTCAATATTAACTTTATATGTTTTATCAAATAAATTTTTCAAGTATTATCTAATAAGTGGAGGATGCAGTGTTGTGTGCAAGCAGCTTTTTAATTTATTTTATTTATTTATTTTATTTATATCCCTCCTATCTAGTCCCTCAGGACCACTCTAGGCGGCTTACAACAGACATATAACAATATAACTAAAACAGTTTTAAATAAAGGGAAAAACATTAAACAAGATGGGGCAAACACTAGGAGAGGAGAAAAGGGAAAATCAGGAATTAGCTAAGGGGAAGGCCTGCTGAAACATCAATGTTTTTAATTGATTTTTGAAAAGACCAGAAATAGAAAGCAAATACCTGCATGACTTTTTGTCTGCTTGGCCAAATGACCAGTTTTAAGCAAGAAATAGAGTAATGACCTGAACTAATCCTGTGATTATCTTCAGTTTGATTCAGAAAGGTACAATGTATTCATTGCAAGATCAGATAAGCAGTCTATCAGTAACAAATTAATGTCGATATTAATACATATCTGTTATGCTGTTTTAATATTTGCTGTTAGAGTGGGCTGATGTATCTTAGTGTAGGAGATAGAATGATAGGCTAAAACTCAGGAAATTTGGGCTTAAAAACCCCATTTGAGTGTGGAAAGTCACAGAGGGGAGTGGAACTAGTTAAACCATTCTTTAAATACCTCTTTTGCTTTGAAATTAGGGTTTCTGTAAGTGGGTTCTAACTTAGTGGCACAAAACACACAACATTGTAAGCCCACTTTTTTCTCCTTTTCATACTAACTAAAGAGTCTTACTTATTACAAATGTCTGGTTCATAATGTTAATTCTGAAGCAAGTTGCATCTGTTCTCCAGAAGGAAGAGGGCTAGCTGCATTCAACAATATTTTCTCTGTTTCACTGTAGGTTTTTTTATTATTATTATTATTATTGGATTGTATAATGCTGTCCCTTAGTTCTCCAGAGATTCTGCCTGTGTTTTCCAGGGCATGAGGTCTTAATGGGATGTGAATATTTCTTCTAAGAAGCTTGTTTTCCTCAACCCTTTGTATGTAAGAGAAAGAAAGAAATCTGTATTCTTCTCAACTAGAGTACCGGTACTTGATGTTCATGAATAAACTTAGTTGAGGAGAGTGCTGTCTCTTTGGCAGAAACTTTATCGTATCTATGGAAGGTTTGTTATGAGACACCAAGGTTTACATTTTCAAAAAAGCTTAGCACTTCCCAGCTTTGTCTTGCAGTTGTGTGAAGAGGAGAAAAAGAAAATCTGCCTTTTCCACCAGATGTAAGCTTGAGCTTTCAGGACTATCCTGCTACTAAAAGTGTAATGTGACCTGTATGATTATAGTTTTAAACTAGAAATACTGTATGACCTTTGGACAATTTGACTGAATATTTGCAGATTCCATGTTCTATCTGTCTATAACTACAGATAACACAACTCCCCAGGGCTTGCATATTTGAGAATATACATTGGCTCACAAATTCCAAACAAGGAATACTTTTCTAAAATGAGATCTTGTGTTCACACACATACTGTTCATGAGAGTGAAAGAAGTTTGCAATTGTACCTGCACCTACCCTGCTAAATTATTTCTTCTGCCTCAAGGACAATTTGCAGCCCGTTCTATAATTTAAGACATTGCTTACCTTTGTGTTTTCCAAAACATGGTCTGTAAACCCTTGGCAACTAGGGGTTGCAAGGGCACCCCTAGTTAGTGTTAAATTTTTGCAGGTGCTGTTGTAATGCTATACTGTAGTTAAAATGAAATGTGAAGTGGGAGCATAAGAGCAGCATTTGGAGATACTGTTTGCTCGCAAAATTTATTCAGCTTGGGAACTGTAGTCAGAATTGAGTTTCTCTTGTAACTGAAATAAAAAAAAGCAAGTTGATTACATGCTTATTGGTACAGCTGGTTGTATAAGTGGCTGCTAAGCCCTATAAGCTCCTAGAATTAATTTTCCTTCATGTGTAATACTGTCTGTGTAGCAGAAGATGAGTCTGTTTAGTGTTCAAATCACTACATCTTCTGGGTATAGATTTTTCTTCCTGTGCACCCCCTCTACGCCATTCTCTTTCTCTCTGATGTTTTATATGTACTTATTGACAATGAGTCATATAAAAAACACATTTCAAATTAAACTTCTGTGCATTGGTTCACATTTTTATATGAATGCAAGAAATATATGTTCTTTTTTTTAAGTGTAGCTGTCAAGGATGAAAATTGGGCAAGAGTTTGCTTTTTTGAGAGAGAAATGCAACTATGTATTTGGGTGCTGATAAAATGGAAAAGAAGTGACTAAGGTATGGTTTGTAATGTAAAACATTTAGAGGAGAAAAAGGAATTTTCTGTGGCATTATTATAATCCAGATGAGTTGTCAGGGGTATAGACATCTGACGCCTAATCCTCTTTTTTTCTTTTTTCTTTTTGACTAATCAGTCTTTCCTAATGCACATTATGGGCTTCCTGATGAGTCTTATTTTCTTTTTTTAATGCCAGGACAGTGAAAGTGGAATCTACTGTAGTATACTGTATATGCTTCAGTTCTAGAAGAGTGTGTTTACTTGGCATGTATCACTAAGATCTGAACAGATAGATGGTGGCAGTGAAGCTTGTCTCAGACAAG